AAGAAAATGGGATACATATTGTATACATGCTAAGGGACATGCACTAATATTTTGACAAACCTCTTTCTTCAAGATAGTATTGTAAAGCTCTCTCGAAGATAATTGTTAAGCATCTCTACTTTGAAAGGCAGTGTTGCAAGCCTCCTTACAGCCGGGGGTTGTAAATATCGTTTAGGACGGCACTGCGACCTTTCCTTAATTAAGGTATCGCAAAGTTCTGTCTTAGAGACGATGTAGCTCTATCTTTTTTCTTTCTTGAGGTGGTTTTACGGCCCTCTATTATGACGGGTCTTGGAATCCTTAAAAGGGATTCTCACGACTATTCTAAGAGTACCCTTTTTTTAAAGATCTTTTTTTAAGATGGTACGGAATACCCTTTAAAAACCTGTGTTGCAAACTTCAATAAAAGGTCTATTTGAAGCCTCTGTCATAACGCCGATGTTGCAATTTCCTTTTCTTATGACGTGTTGCAAACTAACTAAAAGACAATGTTGCAAACCCTTTTTATTGTGTAACACAATTATGTCCTTAAACCTGTCTCAAATCTCTTTTTTGAAGCGAGGTCCAACCCTTCCCATACAACCTCTTTCTTAAAGTCAGCATTGGTAACCTCCATCCCACAAAACGACATTACAAACACCTTTCGCAAAAACTGTGTTGCAAAACTTTATCCCAAAGAAACGGGGTTGAAACTATCCATAACATGACTTTTTCATAACCTGCTCGAAAACGAAAGCTTGGCAGTTGATACGCCCCCGGAAATTTCCACCAAGATTAAGAAGATGAATTAACAAACAGTCCACGATAATTTTTAATTTCCTTGTCTGTTTTCCTCGCCTTTTTTTCTTTTTTCTTTTTCTTTTTTTATATCAAAAGCACGTTATGTTTGTCTTGAAGTATATGGGTGTGACGTCTACTTCTCGCTGTAACCCATGTGGCATTGGTCGTCACGTGTAGTGTTCAGGCGATTCTACCTCATGGATGTTGTTTATTGTTAGGTTATGATTAATGGAGAGCACAGATCTACCTCATATACTGTTGTTTTTGTTTGTTTGTTTCTGTAAAGAATGATATTCCGTTAACCTGTTATATTTATCTTTTTTTCTCCAAGTACATAAATAAAACACAGAAACGAAGACAATAAGCAACAAAGAAATAGACGGAGAGGGAGGAAAGTGAGGGGGCGGCGGGGGGCGAGGAGAATCCAGTACAAAAAAAAAAAATCATATCATTATTTCCTTTTCTCTATTTACTTGTCAACTTCAAGCTACAACAGAACAGCTGCTATCCTCTTCCCGGAAGCTCGTTCAGCAGAAGATCCTTCACCACTATCACATTTCCAGGAAGTTCCAAGAAATGTTATTCATTAAATCACAAAAGAGCTGCGCTATTTCGGATTACACGGCTACGCTCAGGAAGGAAAAACAGGCATTCAGACCGTTTTTTACCCCTTTCTTACGAGATAATGGGAAGAAGTGATTTAGTTTCATCTTTAATCTCTAAACCGCTTAGGACGTGATATTACGTCACCCGCCACTGAAGACAAATTTCAATATTACATGAAACAATGGTAATATAAATATATTTTATCTTTAACCCCCTAAACGGTCTTTAACGTAATATTACGCCACCCGCCGCTTAAGGGTCAGGACTCAATAGCAATTGAGGCCTGGAGAGCCGGGGGGGGGGGGGGGGGAAGCGAACAAGTACATGTTACACAGCCCAGTAAGGAAAATACCCCAGCTATCAAAAGCAAAAGATTAATTTATACATTTTATAAGATTAGCAAACAAGGACTGAAATGGCAAAGAAATAAAAACCAAGAACAGAAGAGCACCTGAAATAGTAAAAGCACAGAAAAAAAAAGAAAAAGAAAGCAAAGTACAAAAAAGCAACACCGACAACAAAACCGAAAAATAGAAAAGGAAGAAAAAAAGAAAAAAACAAATCTGGAAAACGAAAAAATTCTAATTTATTGTTTACAGTTTCGTAGACATGGAATCAGTACCTGCTTCTTGTATATGCTGCTCCAGGAACCGATTCTCCCTCTCTGTCTCGACCCCAGCAAGATGCATCCCATGGAACCGACAATACTGCGCTGCCTTGTACCAGTTTGCCTGCAATGACCCAGTTAGTAAGCGAAGCACCGTGTTGGGGCGTGGCTGGAGACGCAACGGCTTGTGTTCGAGTCTGCATTGTGCTGCCAGGATTATCAATCTCTGCATCGTTGTATCTCTGTCTCTGTCTCTCTGTGTCTCTGTCTCTCCCTCTCTCTCTCCGTATATATTTGTGTGTGTGTGTGTGTGTGTGTGTGTGTGTGTGTGTGTGTGTGTGTGTGTGTGTGTGTGTGCATTTATACATATATATACATATATATATATATATATATATATATATATATATATATATATATATATATATATATACATATATATGTATATATATATATATATATATATATACATATATATACACATATGCTGTGTGTTTGTGCATGAAT